ATGTAGGTAGCCATCTTGAACACTGATTGAAACTATATAAAGAGACAAGTTGAGAAACAGTATCCTACAAATGAGAGAGAAAATAAATGTTCACATCCAAACAATTCGTTGGGGTAACATTAAACCAACCGCTTATAAAATTTGATCGTTTTGCGTAGACAATCCCTTGTATACAAACACCTCATTACCCGAAGAAAATAGAACACTTTCCCTGGTATATTTGAAAGCGAAATCGCCATCCAACTTTATGACAACCGTTCCCTACTGTTATATGGATTCACTCAAAATAGGTGTGACCACGGGATGTCGCCAGCGAGATTCGAAAGCCAACCCTTCAGTCAAAACCAAAGCAGTTAGCCAATCGCTAGCGAGTTTGCAAATTGGCTGCCCCAATACTTCTGAGACTTGCTGTAACAGCATTGTTCTTATGAATACTGTAGACATATTAATTATTCACAGGGTTTTAATTTTGCTATTTTCACTGATAAGTGAAATTAAATCCATGTGTTCATTTTCAATGAAAATTTAAATTATTATTTTATTGGAAAATCAAAAATTAAAAACCTTGTGAATATTCTCAAAATTGTTATAGAATAAGTTCCAGTGAAAATTATTGCATTTACAGTATTATTGATGTATGGCAGATACTCAGATTGACTAATTACCAAAATGTTTGTGAAATAATTTTATCTACAACAACCCTCTGAGACGTATACAATGTGTGTAAAATATATTCAAACACTCAACAACTGTAACATACTATCCATTTTTTTTCATTTCAGTAACTCAAAATGAGGTCAAATGTAAATCTATGAGAGAAAGGATAAATGACTATATGACACGGGCTGAAAAATTGAAACAACATATAGAAGATGTGAAGACAGGTAAAAGACTTGGTATACATGTAATTTTATTGATAATGTACTGTGACCATTCAATAATTTAGCAATGGTACTATAACCTGCAACTGTTTATCAGACATGACTGAGTCACTTTTAGTCAAATTTGCTGATAAACAAGAATTTTAGATGCAATGGCTGACAAGTGCCCATTTTGTTTTTTTTGCATGAATTGCTAATTACCATGACAGTGCTTAGACGCACTTTTGGTCTTGGTCACTGATGCAGTTGCATGTCTACCGGTGCTTTTTTGACTTTTTATATTTTTGCCCTACCCTCGCCTGTTACTAGGTAGGTTACGCATGCACAAATAGAATTATATCACGTCTGACGCTAACTCGGGACCCGGGAATTGCAGTCCTATTTCTTGATTTAGGCATTGAACATAATTTCGATGCTGATTGCTAAATTGACAAAATATATGAAGTCAGTGTGTTTGTTTAATTCAGAGAAGGATTATCTTGCTACAATATTAATAAAGTTATTTGTATTACAGCTGGACAGTACCATGAACAATACCACATCGCTAAAGGTTCCACTGGTCACAGCTATAAAACAGTTTTCAGTAAATTTATTGACGAGTTTTTAACAGAAGTACAAGTGGAAGATCCTTACATCCGAAACACTCATCAGATTTACAATTTTCTTAGGTTCTGTGAATTGTTGGTGATACCACCCGCTAGAGTTCGTAAAATCAGTCTGGTTACTGGTCCTGATGAGGTAAGAGGCATTTCTAACCTTTGAGCACCATT